GCCAGATGAGCCAAGGACCAAAGAAAATCAGATTTGAATAACGAGCAGATGGCTATACCGAGAAGCAGCTTTCACAAGTGCTTCGAATATTGTAAGAAGCGCTGGCATAAATACATACAATAAATCTGAAGGGGGCAAAATGGATATTGATGAATAAATCAATATTTTTCAAAAAAAAAAAAAAAAATACAACTTTTCTTTTGAACAGCCCTCGTATATATATATATATATGTGCATGTACATATGTATTTATTCCATGATTTATTTGGTTTGCTCATCATTTCTCAAATATGATATTCAAACCAAACTACACACATATGTATGTAAGTATATATGCATGTACATACATATATTCTGGCATATATTCTGACATACAAAACATTGCTGATCAAGTACACAAATAAATATATTAACTTACACGATAGAAAATATCATTTATCTGAATATATGTAAATATGTACAATGTAAAAAAAGTGAAAACAAATCACAACTGAGAAGCAGGGTTACCACTTGATGTTAATATTAAATACAAGCTTTGATTTTGAAATTAAAATTATAATTCAGAGAGCGAAAAAATACTTTTTCCAAACGTCTCTTATGCAAAAGGCACCTTGTAACCGCTGATTTGTGGTTTGCGTCATGAAGTTTTTCCAACAGTAAATTCTGAGCCTCGGATGGATTTTTATGAGGAGCTTATTATTTTTTGTCAGAAATACAATCGGTGGACTTGCTGTTCCCTGCCGAGGCGACCGCAATTAAAAAAATTAATTTTCTATTGTACAACAAGGACTCTTAGACTCTCAGGAAGCAAAATAATTGTACCCCTCATCGAAAATAAGTTACAATCATAGGCGTATTATTTCACTGTAACTCTTCATAAATTTATAAGTTTTAATTAAAAAAAGAACTATTTCCAAAAATTATATGGCTTGAAACAGTTCCAGAGAACTTAGAACCAACAACAATTCAACAAAACAATGACCTGAATAAGCTGCTAATACTTATTTTTGCTTGATCTGTTGGGGTAAAATCGACCACTTTTTGCATTTTGAAAGCAGTGATTTTGAGGACTCGAAATAAATGAATCGAATTAAGGACAATGTGGGTAAATGCGGCAGCAACTCCCGCCTGAACTCCGGCTCTTGGAAAACCAATACGAGATGTATGTAACAGTTTAAAATTTCCAGAGCGAAAATGAGTTGACCGCAAAGACAATAAAATCGTAAAATAATAATATGTAAATATTTAACTTAATTTTTTAATAACTATTAAATATATACAAGTGTATATAATAATTGACGCTTTGTAATCGCTGGTGCAATTTTCGGCCGAGCTCCTCCTCCAATTTGTGGTTTTGTGTTTTTAATGTTTTCACAACAAATGGAGAAAGCTGCACAGTTTATTCTAATCCAACCCCGAATGTGCAATGAATTTTTATGAAAAGCTTTTTATTTCATGTCAAAAATACACTCGAAGGGCTTGACTCGAACCCTGGTCTCCAGAATGACAGTACGCAATGCTAATCACTTCGCTATTGCGGCAGCCAATATCCTTAGTTATTTAAAAGGGTTGTCCATATTTATAATGGCAGAGCTCTAATTTCGAGCACAACTTTTTAAACAAATTTCTCAACTTTTCCAATCGAACATATATACATACATACATACATACATACATAACACCTATATATACTTACATATGCATGTATGTAAACCAGTCAAGTCCCCTAAAATTTGTAAGTTTTGTTACCCAACTTTGTTATTCGGTTTTCTTTTGCTTTGCTTCAGCAAACAAATCTTTTACACAATTACACACATACATATATATATATATGTATGTATATACACAAATTCACACACAATTAAACAAATAAAAAAATTATAAAAACAACGTACAATACCCACAGACAACATCTCCATAAAACTTCTAATTCTCAAGTTCTTTTTTTTTTCTTTTTATTTCATTTATTTTCTTCTCTGTGGTACAAGCATTCATGTGTATATCAGTATATACTCTCTGCATTCTTTCCATATTGCTTTTCATCACATATTCCGCTATTGCTTATTTGTTTCACCCGTTTGCTGCCTTAAAAATAGCCGGCACGAAAGCTTTATTGCAAACTAAAACTGGTTTTACTTCCTTTCTGCATGCTTCAGCAGCTCTTTCACGGCCTTCTATTGTACTTATATTGTAATATACAATAATAACTCGTTCGATCTTTTTCTCGCATGCTATTATAGGCAGCGACTGCCACTGCTTGCTCACATTTGTACGTTGTCTCGTGTTTTTGTCGTTGTCGTTGTCGTTGTCGTCGTTACACTCGAGTCTCCCATTACGAATATTGCGTATATTTATTTTGCGGTTTTAAGCTCTGTTTGGCTTTCGTGTTGGCAACATATTCTGCTGTGTAAGTATGTTTGTGAGTAAACATTGCAATTTGTTGTTGTTGTTGGTATTGTTTTTGTTGTTGTTTATGGTTGTTAGTGCTGTTGTGGTTTTCTATGTTTTCTTCTTTGGTAGTATCCAAGCCGCTGACTTTGTAACATAGTTTTTCTGAGTACCACTTGTTTAGCTGCCATTTCAGCATATTTAGCTACAACTTTTCATTTTACTTGCACTCCTTTTTGTGTAACAACTGGATTTTTTTGCGGATTCGGATATTGTTTCGGTTCTATGCGTCTAACTGGTTTTACGCATCGTTTGTTTAGTTAGGTTCTTGGTTTATGTACGAGTATGCAGGTACTTAATAAGATTTCATTTTCTTCTTTCCCTTGATTCTATTTACTAAAAGCCTTTGTATCCAACAATATCAGGGTTGTATAAGGCGGTGATGTGTTTATGGTTAGTCGATTGGAACGTCGCATTTAAGGTAATTGTATTTTAACGTACCGTACTGAGAGCTGGACAGTGACAGCGGTAGTGTTTCAACGATCCCTCCTCATCTTTGTCTCTGCAGCAGCGGCAGAAGTCGTTTGAGAAGCAAGAGTCCCCATGAGACGGTGTTCGGTTATAACGCCAGTTGTTATGGTTTCAGAGGTCCGGTTTGAAAGGAGTAGAGATTTAGTTCTGTGTATCACAATTAAATACCAGACCACTAGGTGCTAGAATTCGTCATCTTTCTCATGTGTGGCATCCTTATAGTGAGGAGTAGAGTACTCCGTGGATTTTGTGTTACCAGCATAGTCGCTTGAGGAGTCAATAGCAGGGAATGTCAATAGTATGAATGGTAGGTCCTTCCATTTGTTGGGAAAATATCAAGGCGAAAGAGCTGTAGCTTGTTGCTCCACCACAATCAGCGAGGTTTCGAATAAAAGCATCGTTGATAAGGACTCTCCACAACGCTGATTCTACTTGAATCAGCAATAATCACTAGAGGGGGTTCGGCTGCTACCCAGGCCCAAGCTATCGGACGTGATCTCGTCCCTGTGAAACCCGTAGATTTGCTCCTTACTACAGCTCGACCACTTCGGCAACGGCTTCCAGCTTCACAGCTCTGTCGTCATCGCAGGACATAAGCTTCACTCTGTCTTTGAGCCACCCCTTGTCCCTTAAAACTGGTTAGAGAATGCCCTTGTAGACCTTGTACGGCCCTATTAAATCCGATTTCCAGTTGTCTGGGGAGTTTCAAAACAGCAGAGGCGCTCTTGATGCGCATGAAGACGTGGCGGTACGCACGGAGTTGGCGGCTGTGGTTTTATCCGAATATCATTTGCCTCTAGCCACCTTCGCTTAAGGTGATTTGTCCTAGATGGCTTGTGTCCCGACTGGTGGTTTTGCCTTTACTTCGAGTAGGATTTTTGCCAACTAGATGCTGCTTAACTTCAAATGGTATAGCTCTGTACCCCATGGGTCACGTACCGAATCAAGTCGCCGGACTCACCTGACTACAAACCATCCAATGGGCACGGAATCGCATGACATCCTAAATATGGGGTGAAGAGTATTGGTAATATCTTCCGAGAGTAGATATGTGTGCAGTTCGATTGGAGGAAAAGAGGGTCACCTCGTGCAGAATTCGATTCCTCATCGTGCATTAGTGGTCCTTATGGAAGCAAGCCTTTAGGCCCTGGTACAGAGCACTGCTACGAGCTGTTTTACACTTAATCTCATCGTGCCACAATTTGACTTGAACCCTTGATTATGATGATACGAATAAATATCCCGATAAGCGCCCATAATTGACCCAACACGAGAGGATTTAACAAAACTGCTGCCCTCTTGTAAATCTACCAAATACCAACATATTATTATGAACCAAGGGTGCATCATAACGATAAATTTCAAATTAATCGAAAAAATTTTAAATCGATAAGGTTGAAATATAATATTAATATATCAAAATAAATTTTATTTCGTTTTTACCCAAAACGAAAAGCTGTTAAATCGTTAACAGATAATGATAAATGTTAAAATTGCAGTGTGCTGTTAATATCCTAACAAGCAGCCACTCTAAAATTAACGCTGATGATGAGTTTGCAGAGAACGTATAATAACGAGAAGGACCGATTGCGGACGGCATGTGTACTGCCAGAGACTATTTCACCAGAAATTGCCTATGTTTGTTAACATTTCTGAGCAAGATAATACTAAATTAATAAAATAATTGTCGCCCAAATATCATTATTCTGTAAATAATTTGTCAGTCTCCGGTAGTTCGCTGTTAACTAGCGGTGAAATAGTCTCTTTCTAATATCGTATAGAGGTGAAATAGTCTCTTAGCGATCCCGTAGGTAGAACAAATGGCAATCTGCACGCCTCGGTCCTTCTTTTCAATATACTTTCTCTGGAGTTCGTGTCATTTAAATATTAACAATTCCATATCGTTTCGATAACATGGCGCTGATATAAAACGAAATGATATCCCTTCGTTAATTGAGCATCTCTCTTATGGACTAATTGTGTGAAACCAAAAATAATGCATTTTTTACTTTTGGCTCGAACATTTGGTTTAAAAAATTGCCTGCTTAAATAAATAATAACTCTCGATTTCAGACTGGCAATGCTGTAAAGCAAATAAAAGCGCTTGCGCTTTCAAGCACGTAAACAAAATAAATAATAACAATAACAACCACATTGAATGACATACTTTCGCGAGAGTCCAAAATTAAGAGAGTGAGCAAGTCATCGTTTACTCTTTACACGACGCAGCGTTGACAGCATGTGTGTTGCAACAGTCGTGGCAGCGGCTAAACAACAACAGCAACACATTGGCATCGAACGAATGCGAAGAAGAGGAGGAAATGTCAGAAATACATAGGCAAATGAGGCGAGTAAAAGAAACTGAAGAAAACGAACGTCTGAAATGGGCAGTTTGTAATTATTGGGCTGCAGCGAGCGTTGGAAATGGGAGCAAATTTCGTGTCGTGTGTGTTTTGTTGTGCGACCAATTGAAAAAATATTATTAATAAACAAAATATCAATACAACAATACATGAAATATGTATGTAATCACATAAACCGACTTGTAAACGTGTAGCGTGTAAATTTCAAAGACAAAAGAACAAATGTGGCGTGTGAAAATCCAGTGAAAATTTGTGTCGAGGAAAAGTGTAAATTAGTTTTGCTTCAAATGTGCATACATATGCATGTGAGAATGTATACATATGTATGTAAGTGAATGAAAATTTACACACACACATGCAGAGGTGAGATGTGCTCAATTGCGCTTGTGTGTTGCAGGCAGTGCAGTACAGTGAAGAATTCTTCATTGGGGTGGAGGAAAAATCGGCAGTAGGCTCAGCATACACCAATGCAACCATGCAATACATATATTTATGTATGTATGTATTTGTAGGAACAAAATTGTTGTATATAATGTGAGTGCAGGCAGTGAGTGGCACAACGCCGACGTCAACAGTCAGGGCAACGTCGGCGAAGCAAACACAACAAGAAAACATTGAATTAAAGAAGAATAAGAAGTATTAGACGCTGCACTCAGTCGATCGAGGCAGCACGGCAGTATATATATATATATATATGAAAGAAGTTATAAAAGATAGATAATGAAAATGCACAGCGAATTCGAGTACAATTACAATAGTGTGAGCTCTCGCTCTCCAACCGTGTGACGGCTACACTCAGGCATCAACTGTCAATTTGCCGCGACCGTGTGTAATGTGGGAATGAAAACAAAACAGCTTGAACAATTGCAGTTGCACGAGAGAATGTGAGAGAGATTTGAAAGAGATAACATAAGATGAGAGTGATGCATGCATTGCATGCCGCATTTATAAACTCTCTCTCACACACACTTAAATGCACGCATCAATATTCACACATGCATGTATGCATATACAAGTGCACTGCCTATACGGCCGACTCGGCAAAAACTCTTCTTGGCCCTAATTATAACTTGCCGAGTATAAAGCCCAATTGGTAGTGAATGGTCGTCGTTTGGACGGACAGTGGAACGTAAACGTGAATATGTACATACATACATACATACATATTTTGAAACGGTGAAGCAAAACACTAAAATCGATGGACGAACGCTGTAAAATAGTGAGTGCATAAGCGAGTTTTTATAAACTATGTGTGTGCGTGTATATATGTGTGTGTGTGTCGGCTCTGCGCTGTGTTGAACATTTTTTCCGCCACCAAAGCAGCAATACCAAAACAAACAAGCAAACATACTTACATACTTGCATACATACATATATACAACAGCATGCATTTTGCTGTAGTTGGCCGCCTTTACTTTACTTGCCGTTTTGTCTGTCCCGCAAACTAACTCGTTGGCTCAGCGTTTTAGTTGGTTAGTTAGTTATTTTCGTTGGTCTCTTGGTGAGAGTCGCACAGGAAAAATATTCTTGCTTCTTTTACTAGTTGGCAATAACTATTTGGTGGAATGTTGTCTTGTGGTTGTTTGAAATCTCCCCAAAGCAATAATTTACTAACTAAATTAGTTAAAAATAAAAAGTGAACAAAAGTGAAGTGAATGAAATTTATTTACATTCTTTATGAAGCGTAGTGGAAAAGCGCCTTGAAGGCTGTGTGGCGAGTTTATGGAAATGTAATGCTCGCTGGTGCCGAAATGCATTTTTTTCTTGTTAAATTGATATAGAGTAAAGGAGCTAGATATGTTTTGATATGGAAATATTTTGAAAAAAAAAAAAAATTAAATAAAAAAATGCAATTAAAAGCATTAAAAATCTGTATATTTATTGTGGCGTAATTAAGTGTAAATTTTGAGTTGATTTTGTATAATTTGAAATTTACTTAAAGTAATTTACGATTAACGAATAAATAATAATAATATTATTTTTGGATATTATTTTGAAAAGTGCAGAAAATTAAAATAAAAAATATTGTGGCCAACTTAAAAGCATTAACATTTTATTTTTGTAGCAACTAAAATGTTAAATTTTGTTTAATGCAAGTCAAAACGACAGCATCTGCTTGCACATAAACATAAACGATGTGTAAAACTTGCAAAGTAAAAAGTTCTGGCTGCCTTCGAGAAGTTTTAAAAAAAGAATGTAAGTGTTAAAATATCGTTTTGTGAAAGAAAGTGTATTAAAATATATACTAATAATATTTAATTAAAATAAAAAATAAAATTAAATAAAAAATAAATTAAAAAAAATCAATTAAATTAAAAAATTGGCATTAATAAGCTATAAACCCAAAAGAGATATAAAAAACTTTGCAAAATATATAACCAAGCGAATGAGGGCCTCAGCGAAATGAATAAATAATATACAAAACAAATATGTACAAGAAGATACGTGCATAGCAAATATCCGAAATTAAGCAACGTCGCCGTTGACCGCTCAACGCAACAATTTTAATTTGTTTTTTTTTTTTTTTTGTTTCATTTTATGTATGAATTTGCTTTTTTTCGGTTTTCGCATTGACTTTTTTTTTGTTTTTTTATTTCTCGTGTACGCGTGTTGAATTTTGTGTGCTAAGTGATTGTGAATTCACGGCGCGATTTTTACTGCTTTTTCAGCGCAAGAGCCAGACAGACACATTTCTTAAGAGTATATACATATGTACATACATACTTATAGATTTGTACATCCATATAAAAACGACTGCAAATACCTACATATGTATGTACATAATTATAATACCAACAAAATTGTTGAAAGTGTAGAGTATGCTTAGATATGTTTTTCTACGTTATTCGCTGCACTATAGCTATGCATCGCATAAGCATCTCCAAACAACAACAACAACAACAACAACAGCAAGTGAAAAGTAGCAACATCAATAAACATCAGCTCAACATAAACGAACAAATGAACAGACGTTTTAGCAAATAACAACAAAAATAATGTTTACTAACTATATATGTATGTATATACATACATATACATATATATATATATATATGAATGTATAGATGAAATATTAAAAAAAAGAAAAATGTTTATTAACATAAAAGTTGTCACCGGAGTCGAAGTCGAAGTGTTGTAGTTGTTGACTTTGACGTCGCCAACGTTGTACTTCCCAGCAATCTGCACACCCTCACAAGACCACTTGCATTTACATAAATCTCTTCTTATGTATGTATCTCTTTCACATTCTACACACTTGACGTTTGCGTGCACGCAATGTGAATGCTTTTGTATTCTCATTTGATGTCGTTGCTTTTGTTGTTTTTATGCATCCGTAATAATTCGTGTTGGTCGCATCGTAAAGTGTATCGTTTTCATAGGCCTGCTCATACCGAAATGTTCTACAACAATGTCGCCAGCTAGTGCATTCTCAGTTGTTTTTATTTTTGTTATCAATGCTGTGTTTCGTGTGTTGTTGTTTTTTCTTCACTAGTGCAATAACTAAATTTATCTATGTCCCTTCTCAAATATAGGCAGATAAAAAAAATATAACAACAAATTAAAAGAAAGTGAAATAAATGCAACGAAGCTGAAAGAATAGTGTACTCTACAAGAGAGAGAGAGAGAGAGAGAAAGAAATAGAAATAAAACAAAATTTAAGACAAATAAATAATTATATGAATTATTATTTGTTTATTAAAAAGTGAATAAGTGCTAAAAGTTGTGTGCTTGTGTTCAAAAATGAAATTCTAAAATTATACATAAATACATATGTACATGCAAATGTACATAAATTGCAATATATACATAGTGTACGTGCTTGCATATAAATTTATGTAACGTCTTATACAGTGCAAAAACCAAATGAAATATTGTATTCGGTGTACACACCAACAACATACATAAGTTCATTTTTAACAAAATCCTGTCATTGATTCAGCACTGAAGCTGAGCTTTACAGATTGTAAATATAATAAAAAAATCATCAATAAGAAAGTCGCTGCAAAAGCTTGAAGGTTTGTACAATAAATATTATGAATATGCATAAATATGTATGTATTTATAATAATTCAAATAAGCATTTCTAAATGCTAGGCATATTTGTTAAGTTTAATTCAGAAATACAGGGTTATCCGTTTTGCGGCTTAGAAAAAAACGTAAATAAAATGAATTTAATATAATATTTTCATCAAAATTCTTTTTTATCATAAAGTTTGAATTCATAACAATACATAAATACAGGGTCGTCCATTTTGGGGTTTCGCTAATAGACGTAAATAAAACGAATTCAAAATCCTTTTTTAATGAAATTCCTCATTTTATTATATTCATAAATTATAAAGTTCGAGCACAAATACATGGTTATCCGTTTTGCGGCTTCGAAAATACACGTAAAAAAATATTTTAAATAACGTGTTTCATGAAATTCCCTTTTTATTATATACATAAATTTTAGCCTATAAAAGCGGTTATCAATACAGGATCATCCGTTATGCGGTGCATATGATTTTTTTTGGGTTATCTACATAGATTGCTGATAGAATGAAATTCCTTTTTTTAATATAAAGATTGAGCCTATAAAAGGGGTTACCTACTGTATATACGGTTCTCTACAATACATACATAAATAGAGGATCATCCGTTTTGCGATGTCGAGATAAGCGCAAATAAAATGAACCCATAAACGCGGCTATCTACATAAATACAAGGTCGCAGATTTGGGGTTTCGAAAATAAATTAAATAAAATGCGTTTAAAATATTTTTTTCATGTAATTGCTTTTTTGTTATAAAGTTTAACCCCATGGAAGCAGCTATCAACATAAATACAGGGTTATCCATTTTGCACTTTCCAAAATAAACATAAATCAAATTAGTTTAAAAATTGGAATTCCTCTTTTTATAATGCAGTTTGAACCCAAAGCGGTATCTACATATGTAAACCACAAGGTTATCCGTTTTGCGGTGTAGAAATAAGCGTATGTAAATAAAATTAATATAAAACATTTTTTTTAATTCCTCCTTTTATTATAAAGTTTGAACCCATCAAAGCGTCTATTTATATGAATACAGGGTTATCTGTTTTACGGCTTCGAAAAAATAACGTAGAAAATAAAAAATATTTTAAAAAATGTTTTTCATAAAATTCCGTGTCGGGTCATTATTTGACATTCTAGTGATCGCCTCGCGTGTTTTTGCCCACTGAAACACTGAATGATTGACCGTGTCGAAAGCTTTTGACAGATCCAGTGCTGCCAGGATAGTTCGCAAACAGGACCGGTTTTGATTGAGGCCATTGGATTTGTGATTATTTTTGGCGGTAAGTGTCAAGTGTGTGAAGGTCGGGACCAGTAAGATCTCAAGTGTCTCCCTACGGCCGGTTCTACGCTCCGGAATTGACTGGGCTGTCACCCTCCCTTTCAGAGACAATGCCTAGATGGTAAAAAGAGTCGTCAGTTGGGCTTCATACAGTGAAGAAACGCCAAAGGACAGAGAGGCTTTCGAGTGAAAGTCAATAACTTTTGGACAAGACGACCAGATTGAACAATAAACCGCATATGAGATCAATGAAAATCCGGCATGTGGTGCAGTTAGCTTCGAAACATGAAAAAATAAAAGTTGGGACGAAAGAATTTTCTTATTCTAAGATGGGCAGTTTGAACTCCAGCTTGATAATTTTTTCGACCACCTAGCTCGGCCATGGTTTATCTCTTCAACTCTAGCGTAAATTAAGATCCCTTAATGGAGCTTGCTATGATAAAGCCAAGAGTTATGCCGTGTTTTTGGCGTTCAGAGTGCTTTCGGCAGTCATTCTATTAATCAGACTTCTAGTTGTTGTTGTATTTAGTAACCGTGAAAATATACTCCAAATTAGTTCTCGGGGAATATTGCTGCAGTGACAGTGCTTGGCGGAGATAGTTATTTAAAGGCCTTATACTTCAAAATAGCCGCGGTGGCCGAGTGGTTAGTGTATGACCACGAATGTTTCTTCCCAACTTTTGCCCAGTGTTCGCTACTTACCTTTTAATGCTATAATATGCAATCTTTTCGATTTTTGCTTTAAATATTTTCTTTTATCCGTGTTCCGATTTGGCAATTGAATTCGTTTGGACCACTAAAAGCAGCTATAAACAAGCAAAAGAGTCACCCACGCAATTACGTATTATGTATTTACCCATTACATGCTGTAATTGATATGCTTTGCGGTGCGCTGAATGTAA